CTGTCTCCGGACGTGTTCGAGAGCATCACGGGTCAGTCGTACACGAAGCTGAGCATCGAGTGGAAGTTCGTGGATTGTCCGATCTCGAACAACGTGCAGTACTGCTTGAAGACAGGCAGCAGTGAGTTTTGGGTGGCGGTGCAGCCTGCGAACTGCGTGTCGGGCGTGCAGAGTCTGTCTATCAACGGCCAAGAGACTTCTGTGATCGACTCTGCGTACTACTTTTTGATCGACGGCAGTGGCGAGAGCGTGGCGGATCTGAACTCAATAAGCATCTCGATCAAAGGTGTGAACGGTGAGGTGCTGGAGGAGACGCTGTCCTTATCAGCCGACGAGTGTACCGAAGGGAGCAAGCAGTTCTCTACCAGTGATGTTACGCAGTTTACCACAGTTGCTGGTAGTTCGTCGCCCAGTCCACCCACTACTTCCAACCCAACTACGGCTCCTACATTGGCTCCGACAATTACTCCGGAATCAACACCGGCGGCTACACCGACGCCTACTCCGATTGCCACTTCAAACGCAACGTATAACCCGGTTACGCCCACCACGGATAGTTCGAGTTTCACTAGCAGCAGTTCATCATCGGATTCTACCGATCAAGATGTCGGAGCTGACTCTGCTGCTCAAGGATCGGGATCAAACACCGTTCAGGAGACGGTGGCAGCTTCGAACACAGTCTCTTCAACAATACCCGATGACGCCATTGAGTCGACCGTTCAAAGCTCCGGTGGCTCACACTCGACACCTTTGATGATTGGAATGATCGTTCTGGTATGCGTTGCAGTGATGGTTACAGTTGGTTTGGCACTGTACGTACGTCGCCGCAAGAAGCAGATCGATTCATACAAGCGTCGCGAGGAGCAAGGTACGGAAATGTCGGACGCCGATGTGTCACCACGTGCGTCGGACGTTTCTGGCTACGACATGGTGCACAGCCCCACCGTTCATTTCTCCTCGATGGAGTCAATGGGAAACAGAGCATAAGCAAGTGAGAATGTTAGGTAGTTCAGAATTAATCTAGTTAAAGGGTAGTCTAACGCGTTGGTATAAGCAAAAGACACCAAAAGATAACGGACGTATTAAAATCGATAATCCGAATACTCTACCGCCCAATTCTTATAAAATGATAGAAAAGATATCGTTGGTGATGAGTGTTCCATGCATTCGAGTGAAAGTCTCCGCTCATTTACCACTCAACATCTTAGCGCTAAACCCTTCAACTAAAACCATGAAGTGTCGTAGTGGCGTGCGTGTAGCGCTATCACTTGTCGTGCAAGTGACCTTGCGTAACCCACCAAACATCTTGGCAAGACCACGGCCAATGCGACGCATAACGAAGTCGGTTGACAAGCTCGACGCGTGGAACGTCTCCGAACGAGGCGACCAAGCACGTCAGTCTCAACCTGCTGCAACGGTGATTTCTAGCCGGAATGTGTCAACCCGTGCCGATTGACCTGTTCGCTGGCATTTCTCTGGACGAACCTGTAGCTCGCCGCCACCCAATTGCGAGCCCAATCGACCCGAGTCCCACTCCACTGACGTGGTGGGAGGACAGAAACGTCTCCGATTCTGAAGGAGACCAAGCAGAACGCGTCGCTTCTTGCGCAACTCGCCACCTGCAACAGCCGCAAGCGTTTGGTGGAAAATGGAACGCTCCTGGCAAGGCAGCCATGATGCATGACAACCGAGTGACCGCACGCGTGCTAGCATGTACCATCACTTTCGCGCCGCTTTCCACCACGTCAGTGCACCCTTCCGTACGTCCCAGCTTGATAGATCTCCACCTACACTTCCGAGTGCGGCACGGCCAAAATGGACCAGCAACGGCGACCGGGTCACTCTCAATTTCGCTGCGATCTTCACATTTTGTCGTATCATCCTAGAAAAGCATAGATAGCATGACTTCGCAGCGAGTTGTCAGAGTGTTCTTGCTGGCTATTTCGTGCCTTGCGTCGGTATCAAAGGCGTTCGAGGGGTACGGCACGGTCTACACGCTCAGCTCACCATCCGACGGCAATTGCAACTTCATGAACTGGCCGGAAGCTGCCGTCACCAAGTACGCTGCACTCAACGCTGAACAATGGGAGGAAACCATGAACTGCGGCCGATGCGCCGAAGTCTCGTGCACCGACGCGTCGTGTTCGGGTCAGTCCGAGATC